GGCGGCGGCAACCAGAAGGGGAGAGGGGGTGGCGCGCAGGCTGGTGGCGGCGGCGGAGGCGGCGACGACAATGCGGGTAGCATGCGCGGTCGCCGTTTCCGGTGCGGCAAGAAGGGCCATCAGGTGGCCGACTGCAACGAGAGCAAGCCCGTGCGATGTGAGACATGCAAGGGCTACGGCCACGACAAGAGCAAGTGCCCGACCGAAGAGGCGGTGCTCGTGGTGGAAGTGCCGGCGGGGAGGGCGTCTGCGGACGCCACAGCACTGGACGTGGCAGAAGAAGCGCTGGTGGTCGGTGACATCTCAGGCGAGTGTCACAAAGTCGTTGGTCGAGGGGGTGTAGAGCAGGCTAGGCGGGGTAGGTATGTTGCCGATACCGGCGCTACCATCCACATGTTCGCGAACTCAGATGGGTTCGTCCGATGTCAGGAGTGTGATCGACGTGTGCGCGTCGCCGCCGGAGAAACCTTCCCTNCTGCAAGAACAAGTCCCCGACCGAGGAGGCGATGCTCGTGGTGGAAGTGCCGGTGGGGGGGGCGTCTGCGGACGCCACAGCACTGGACGTGGCAGAAGAAGCGCTGGTGGTCGGTGACATCTCAGGCGAGTGTCACAAAGTCGTTGGTCGAGGGGGTGTAGAGCAGGCTAGGCGGGGTAGGTATGTTGCCGATACCGGCGCTACCACCCACATGTTGGCGAACTCAGATGGGTTCGTTCGTTACGAAGAGTGTGATCGACGTGTGCGCGTCGCCGCCGGAGAAACCTTCCCTACTGTAGGGTACGGCGACGTATCGGTCACCCTTAGCTCGCGCGACGGAACAACAGACCTGATCTTGAAACGGGTTGCACACACTCCTCGATTAGACTACAACCTAATCTCTCTGACGTCCCTATTCGACGACGGGTTCAAAACCAAAACCCTAGACAAACACGAGTTGGAGTTGGAGAAAGAGGAGGGGAAGTCGGTGTACTTCCCCCGATGCGGTGACATGTACGTCCAAAATGGTTTCCGCACACACACCAAACATGCCTATGCCGCAACTGCTCCTGGCAACGCGAAAGCGTCCAGCACCCCCGTTGACATCAACGATTTCCACTGCGCGCGCGGCCACTCCCACGAGGTGCTGCTGAGGACCGCGGCGAATCAGCAGGGGACGACGAGCTCCGGGAGTGCCTGGGGTGCTCGACGGCGAAGGGACTTTCCAAGCCCATCCCCAACAAGACGTCGACCCGAGCATCGCTGCCTCCCATCGCAGAGGAGGAAGAGGAATTCGCGACTGAGGAGGACGAGGTTGGGGAGGGCGCGTCGAGCCAAGGTGGAGGGGGGACAAAGGGAGAATCTGTGGATGGAGGACCAGCTTTCAACCTTGGCACGACGGCAGCCACGGGGCCCGCGGGGCCGCCCGCGCGCGTAGCGCCGGCGGGGCCGCCGGCCACGCCCCAGGAGTCGGGCGCGGGCGACGCTGGCGATAGCGCCCCCTCGAGCAGGGAGGGCGCGAGCATCGCCCCATCTACCACGTCGGCCGGCATGGCCGATGTTGCCGGCGGCGAGGACGACCGCCACAGCAGCAGCAGCCGTGGTAGCGGCGGCAGCGGCAGCGACAGCGGTAGCGACAGCGGCAGCGACAGCGGCAGCAATAGCGGCAGCAACAGCGGCAGCAGCTGCTGCAGCGGCAGCGACAGCGACAGCGACAGCGACAGCTACAGCGACAGCGAGACGGATCTCCCGGCGCTCCGCGGGCCAGAGGCTCGACGGCTCGCCCGCTTCGACAAGCCGGCGGACCTCACCAACCGCCGCACCAGAGAGAACCCTCGCCGAAATCCGAGGTACGAGTCGCCCCCGTCGCCGACAAGTGCCGAAGTCAGCGGCACGAAGGAATTCACCAGCTGGATGCTTTCGGCGGTACTTTACGTCGCGGAAGGGCTAGAGGCAAGGGCGGTGCGAGAGTTACTGTTCGAGCGCGCGGAGGAGGCCCACGCTGCGCGCCAGGAGGCGGAGGACTTCCTGCTGGGTACGGTGGACCTCATGCTCAACTCGCCAGACGCCTTCGAGACGGCTCTGGCGTCCCACGAGCTAAGTCAACCCCCCCATTGGCAAGCGTCCGAGTGATGTAGAACCCCCCCCCATGACCGTAGCCGGCGTTGCCAAGTCTGTGCACAGAGTAGGTGGGAACAGGCCATGAGGGAAGAGTTTGAAGGGCACTTGTGCACGGGGACGTGTTCATTCGTAGACGGCGCGCCAGAGGGGTGCAGGCCTATGAGCTCAAAGTGGTGTTTTAGTTGGAAGACCATCAAGGAAGGGAAGATAGACACGTTCAAAGCGCGTCTGGTTGTTAGGGGGTTTTCGCAAATCCCGAACGTCGATTATTTACATTCGTCTTCCCCTTGCCCATCATCCGCATCCATTAAATTGATGCTTGCGGTAGCAAACGAGAAGGGCATGAACCTCAATCACTGGGATGTGAAGCAGGCGTACACACACGCCACGCTAGACGAGGAGGTTTTTCTGAGGCTCCCCGCTGGGTGCAGGGAAAAATCGCAGAAGATTGTTAAGGCTGAGCGTGCGATTTACGGTCTGAAGCAGAGCGGTAGGCAGTGGGGGTACCACGCTGCTGATTCGCTAGTCGAGAACGGGTTCGAGCAGTGCAAGGCGGACCGTTGTGTTTTCCGCAAAATGGTAGACGAAGTCGTGGTGATGATTATCGCGATCTACGTGGATGACAGTTTGGTGGCTGGGTCTGACGAGGATTGCGAGGAGTTGCTTGCTTCTCTCAACAAGAAATTTCCAACCAAAAATCTGGGAGAATGCGAATGGTTTGACGGGTGCGCCATCGAGAGAGATGTAGAGGCTTTGTGCGTGCTGTGCTTTCGTTTGTTGCCCCAGAGACCAGTGGTAGCAGCTTCCACGTCCTTGAGGACAACGAGGGGGGCATAGCGCCGGTGCAGAACCCTCACAGCTCAGGTCGCACGAAACACATCGACGTGAAATTTCATTTCATCCGCGGATTGTTTAGGTCGGGGGATATTTCGGTCAAGTTCGTTCCGACAACGGAGCAACACGCGGACCTCCTAACCAAGGCCCTTAGCATGGCTAGTCTGCAGTACCACCGGCGCAGGTTGATGAATTTGCCGGAGTAGCTCTAGCAGTTTCTAGCACTTGGGAGAGGCCATGTTTTCCATGCGGGGAAAGGCGCATAACTGTTGCGGTCTGTGTACCAATGGCAGGAGTAGGGGGCGTTGGGAGACCATCGTCCGGGGGAACGTAGTTCCTCGCGTTTTTGTCTTCGCGTTGGCATTTCTAATAAGTGCGGCCGTTGTGGTCCGCTGTGATAGCAACGGTTTTTGTGGTGGTGGGTTTTTTTCGAGGGGTATTGCCCGGACGCCGGGATTCCCCTCCACATATTTCCATGTTGGTATTTTCCCGAAGTCACGCCGCATTCCTCTTCATACACGTCACACGTGAACCGACACTTGTTCCTCTCGAACCAATCATGTACGACCTTGAAAACTGCCGCAATAGTTCTGTGTCCTACTTTATTCCACAGTACATGTCGTCAGTCTCATCTTTTTCCCAGTCCTTGTGCCGATTTTCGCCCATCCATAGTTTCTGTCTTATTTTTTGTATCGGGTGTCGTACATGTATGTGTCACCGTTTTTGTTCCGGTCGTTCGTAATGTTTTACCCCATCCTTGGTTTCCTATATTTCCTCTCTGGCCCGACAGCGCCGTATCTCGCTGTTTAATGTTATGAACTCCGGTCGATATGTCGCATGAATGCTGCGCTTCCTTCGCTTCATTTCCTTCAACGATGTATTATCCAACAACGCAATTCACATTGGCCTCGCAGCACCAGCATATCCATTTGGCGAACGTACCGCCATCGTTAAAACGCTTCCGCCAAGCACGAATATTTCCGAGGTCTAGACTATGCCTTTTGGCTACCTATAGGTGTTTTCATGTTTTGGGATGTGGCAGTAACGGTGGCTGCTCGCATGTTCATGTTTCACATTTTCTATCATCTGTTGGACAACAGCGCCGCCCAACTTCTAACAAGCATAACTCGTCTGTGGGCCCTGTTTCCAACGAATATTTCTGTATGCCTCGTCCATGTTTCCTCGGGAATTCGTTTTCGTCAATCGACGTACGTTTCGGGGGGTCATGATGTTCATCCTCGCGCCGTCCTCATTTTTTTTTTTTCGCCTTCAATGCTTCCCGACAGTTTTTCGTATCGTATCTCTTTAACGGGGGCCTCTCGTGTTAGTTTGGATGGGATTTTTCCGATTTCTTCCCCTCCATGAACATCCGACGTCGTTTCATACCGGAGAGGGGAATTACCCCGTCGATTATCGTCTCCTCGCTGTATTTCATGTTGGACTTGCGCGTGTACCGTGCGTCCTGGGTCAAACGGCCGACGGCGAAGCGACAGATACCTCACTTGCGCTTCACGTTCGTCTTCATTACCTCATAATACCAACTACATCTTTAAGGAGGATTCTATTTACGTCACCGGTGGCGTTGTTTCTTATATACGTCACCGCCCGTATCTCAGCCCACAGAGCTTCAATTGGCACAAAATAAACTGCGTTGTGTAGCTATGACCCACACCAATCATACAACAAGCCTTTCGACGGTCAAATCCGATAGGTGGTTGCGGAGATTTGCTCAAAAGGGGGCTCAGCAGTATGATACTGCATCTACCACAAAAAAATCCGACTGTAACTTCGCGCAGAGAGCTCCGATCGACACCAATAGCTTAAGTGATGGCTGTGAATCGTGGAAACACAACGCGAGTTACATAGTTGGTGTCGATGAGAACTCTCTGCGAGGCAGCACGGTCGTTTTATTTATGGCAGATACAGTATATCATACCGCTGAGCCCCCTTTTGAGCATATCTCCGCAACCACTTATCGGATTTGACCGTCGAAAGGCTTGTTGTATGATTGGTGTGGGTCATAGCTACACAACGCAATTCATTTTGTGCCAATTGAAGCTCTGTGGGCTGAGATACGGGCGGTGACGTATATAAGGAATAACGCCACCGGTGACGTAAATAGAATTATCCCATCTTGAACGTTGTTCATCCTTCGTTCCTGTTATTTCGTGCACCACACACTCTACACCTAACTATTCGATCTCGGCGCAATGACCGTCATGTATGTCCGTCTCAATGGACTACACCATCTTTCGCTGCTACCAACCTCCCCTTTTCCGGAGATTGTTTCCACAGCTTCTCTCCTTACCTTCATCATACCGACACATACATGTCTCCGGTTTGCGCCTTCCTATTCCCAATCAACCTACACATCCTCCATAATGAGCCGCTGACAGTCACCCGCGACCGACCATCTTTTCTTTTACATATTGCCTCTTCCAACCATCTCCCTGTACATTCGCCCTTCCGCGAAACCAATGTTTTTTCCACCTCATCTCCTCAGGTTTTCGTCTACCTCGCCATTGTGGCCTCCCCGCCCACTGGGGGCGGGGGGGGCGTTCATTGCCTTACTTAGTACTTAAAACACCGTATGCATAGCCCCCATGGCAAGGAACCGAAAGAAGGGTAAGTATTTTTTGTGCATGAACTACAACACTATTAATAGTCTACATGGATCTCGCTTTTGCTGTTGCTTTTGTATTTGTACGTCTGGCTGTCTGCCCATCTGCCGCCTCTTTGTCCTGTTCGCTCTGTTACTCCCATGCCCTGGTGCGTAGTGCCTGGTGCTGGTACGTTACCCTTTGATTTTTCTTTAGGCGGGTGTGGGAAGCGTCCTCCTTTGTTTTGTTATCATTTTCTTAATAATTTATCACACAACAAATCCATCTCTTTCTCTAGAAAAAGTCTTAGATGAGCAATGAATCCATAGCGTGAGCGAAAGGCTACCTGTATGTCAACGGTTTCCCAGACAGCATACAACGATAACTCCCCTGTGGGTAACAGGCTCAACAAGGCAGTTTGTTACAGGCTCAACAAGGCAGTTTGTTAGCCATCTTGTGTATCTATCTGTAGTCTATGTTATGTTGGGAAGTTGTAGACGGAAGATTTAGGGGAACTCGGTTCGTCGGGTGTTCTATTATAGCACCCTTACGATGTGGTTGCGGAGCAAGCGTTTTCTTTTTCCGAGTGGTTTGTACCCTATTTTTGTTTTGTTTCCCCGCCGCGTCGTATGTGCCGGGTTTTGAGACCACGGGCTCCCCATTTTTTGTGGACTAGACTAGTCTAGTCTACAGAGCTAATGTGAGAAACAACAAAAACAACAATGCACCCCTATCAACCATATAGATAGATAGTCTAGACTACTCCGTGTAGTGAAGGCTGAGGGATATCTCAGATGGACATACATACACACAAACGAACAACGTACTGAGCTCTGGACAAACGCTGTGGGTGTGTACATGCGGAAAAGTAGGGGGAAAAGGAAAAGAAGAGCAACCAGCACGGCCTTGCACTCGGGAGGAGATGAGAGATGTGCGCGCGTTGTCCCAACACCTTCTCCACAACCAAAAAAAACGTATTCGGCAATAATAGTCTAGACTACTAGTCTATCAATCATCAAGACTAGACTAAAGGGATAAAACTCAAGACTGTAAGGAAGGGCGGGTGCACAGCAAGCAGTATTATTGTAGTTTCCAGATTGATGTGCTCCGCGCATGATGATAGCGGCCGCAACTCCCTCTGCTTTTGTTGCGATGGATATGGACACGCACCAGAATACAGCAGCAGCGTGCTTTGTCTCGGGTCATGCAGAGAGTTTTTACGTGAAAAGGAATAGGCGAGTCTAGACTAGTCTACCTTGGTGTCGTATCGCTGTGTGCTGTATCAAGCATGGTGCCGCTGTCGATATGCATGTACGTGCGTCCAAAGCTAGTTGGCTTGCGGTAGGTCTGCAAGCACGGCCGACCCGTGCTGCGCG